CGGTGAAGGCACTTAGTAAATTGATTTAAATAAGTATGGTATGCGCCATGATATTATATTTCATCCAATAACAACAAAATGTATGGCTTTTTTCCCAACATATTGGAAACAAGCCAGAGTTCCCTCTGTATATTTGTATAACAAACCATTACAATTTGTTAATGATATAAAGTACTTTGGATACATGGTGTCAGCCTCTGGAGATGATGCTAGAGACATGCGTAGACAACTCAGGTCATTTCATGCAACGGCAAATCCTCTTTTGAGGAACTTTGGGAAGTGTTCGGAACATGTGAAATGTACTCTTTTTCGCTCATTTTTATATAGTAACTATTGCTTAAATGTATGGAGCAATTATACTGTTAAGCAGATGCGTGTTCTGCATGTAGCGTACAACAATGCACTTCGGTTGATTTTTAAATTAGAGAGGTCGAGCAGTGCAAGTGCTAATTGTGTCATGAGAAATATTTTCAATTCATAGAAAATCTTTGTACAATTTTAAACAGCGATTGTTTCAGAGTGACAATAGTATAATTGATATTTGTATAAATAGTGATTTATTCCTAAGGTCTAGTTTTTGGCACAATTATAGACGCCTTCTTTATAAATAATGTTATATCTGTTGTAATTTCTCTATGGACCTTTGAGTCTGAAATAAAGTATAATAATAATAATAATAACTTTATTACACAACTTAACCATCTGTGGGTTTAGTAAGGTAAAACACGAATACAAAAGACAAATAAAATAAGACACACTAAAACACTAAAATTAAAATACACTGAAATTGAACATAGAAAAAAAATACAAATTAGAAAATCTCTGAAAAATTGATTGAACAGCAGCAAGGTTCTCCCAGACCACAGTTACATATTTATCTTTTAGAAAATTGTATGACAAAGCCATAGTATTTCCCATTATTTTCACAAAGCTTTCCATTCTGGACAAGGCATTAACTTTTATTTTAAAATACTTCAAGACACGTTTTCCCTCTACTTCATAGAAATTGCAATCTAAGATCTTTCATTTTCTGGGGTTTTTAGTTTACTCTTCCTTCCCAATTCAATTTCAAGGTTGTGGTCACTGAGCCTAAACTTTGCTAAAACTCTACGTTGGCTGAAGTTCTTCATTTTATTTAGATAGTTTTCTAATTCAAATTTTTGTTTAAATATACTATATGTTCTAAGTTTGTTCCCCTCTTGTTTATTTAATTGTTTTCTCCATGATTGAAAAAAATCATTTGATAGCTTTGTTTTTACAACATTGGTTAGTTGATTAATATTGTTGATCTTGTTAGTTTCTTTTATTTTAGACAAGTTTTTTTCTCCAAAAATTGTTTTTATTTGAGTAATCCAGGTAGAATTATTTTGTATTTCCTTAATGCACATTTTAATATGTGATTTTCAGGAAGCAAATTTATTCTGTACCAGTATTTAACCTTTGAAACCATTGCATTCATTCTTACTGGTAATCTACCCAGTTCACCCCTTATATCAACTGATGGTGTAAATTTACTAACACCAAGAATAAAACAATAATAATTATTACAAACTTGCTCTAGGTTATTTGTGTCATCTGTTAGTTCACCTGCCCAAATTTCTGACCCATACATTAGATGGGTGTAACCAACTGATCAAATAATTTTAAACACAATGAAGTTGAATCATTTTATGATCATG